TTGCCTAGGACAGCGTGCTGGATGCGGATTGTATCGGTCAGCCTAGTTGGACGATTGCAAAAATCAGGGTTCTCGGTACCTGGGCTAGCTGATAATTGATTGAAATGAAGTGCCGGGACCACTACTGAATTTGCTAAAAAGCGTGTTGCCAAGGGTTGAAGGGCGTGGATCAAGGATAATTTCCAGAGGGACAGAGCATCTCGATAGCCTCATCAAGGTCTAAAAGACTGCCCTCGCTGCTGGAGTTTTTGGAAAAAAATACTTCGGGAAAGTTACTAAGAGAAATGAATCAACTGGGGTGACCAGGGAGGATGCATATTGATACAGCTCGATGTAGGCCAATTACCTCACCGAGGTCAGGTAAACCCCTCGCTACCGGAACTTGCCAATAAGGTTGTTGAAAAAGTGGTGGAGATAATCAAATCAATCGAGGTGACCAGGAAGATCCCCGAACACTGGAATAGAGCGACGTCTGACGTGAATTCTTTGATGGTATTGATAATAGATCGCAATTGTCCCCTTACTATTGAAATCTCACACTGATAAGTGCAAAACCAATTGATATTGAAACAAATACGCACGGCACGTAGAAATCCGAGTACTGAAATACCAGAGGACTGCGATGAAACTCTGGTTGTTTTGAGAAATGTGGAAATCAGCGTGACATATACAAACGAGCAAGGGATGGGGAAGAAAACAAGATCCTACGTACTTTGTCATTTAGGATACACTGATTTCTGCTCTGGCAATGAATTCCTTGCCTGTCAACAAAAGCATGTCAAGTTCAGCTGAGGCTGTAGCCTACATCGAGGGTAACTAATGATGCCTTGGGGTTTTACCACCCTGCTATGGTAAAGTCCGTGTCAGAAACGCGAAGAAGGCGATCAAAGGTGGCTGTGAGATGCGCAAGGCAGTATACTCAAAACCTAGAGGCATGAATGATGATTGAGCAACATAAAACAAGGCCTTCCAAAAATGGCGACAACTCACAGTTTGATCATTGCAGAAATATTAATGTAGTAACCGTGTTTCTATATATATTACGCTTGACGTACGACATCCAATATGCACTCGTAGGGCCATTCATTCCCTATTCATAAGAAATGTAGCACCCTGTGATCGCATTAGTTCCACCGATGTTGTAACTACTGGCCGATAATGATACTGTAATCGCGAAAAGAGGAGAACTGAAGTCTACAGAAAGGGTGAGAATCATCGAAAAAGCACTTTGTGCATGTGGACTTACACAGATGCTGACGAGACAGACGTTCATGAAGTAACCTGAAATATCTAGGATCGTGTGTTAGCTGCGGTTCCCAAACAATGTTGCTATCGAGGTACCAATGAAAGCGCCTTATTGATCTTATTCAGGATGACAAAATTCACGAACAGGGCTGCTGGTACTTACCAAATGGCGGAGAGTCCGGCATACTCGCCCGGATCTGTGGAAGTGCAAAAAGCACTGCAAGCCTATCAGTGGCGCATCTATCAATCTTCTGCGGCTCGCACACCTGTTGTCGAGGTCAAGATAAGGCTGTCATTGACGTTCGCACGGCACAGCACTAGGACTGTCATCCATAAAATGGTGACAGAGAGAGTCCCTATGGTCCGATGAGAACCAGCCGGACCAAACAAGCTAAGTAGTAATGCTCACAGTTTATGACAACCAGGAGGAGGGCGAACGCCTTGACCATTTTTTGTCGCTCGACGGTTAGGGCCAGGGCATAAAACATCTCGTTCCCTGCTGTAGTCGGGTAAAACGCACTAGAACCGATCCAATTTATCATACTTCCGTATCCAATTACGCCAGATATCGGCAGTGATTGATTGCTGTCAGTATCAATGGCTAACAGCGATACATATGCAGAGTGCCTGCAGTGAGTCAATGATACTGATAAGGAAGAATGAAGTGATGTCCTTACTGATCAAATGGGTAGTAAAGAGTCGATACTTGCTTCTGTAACGTATACGGAAGAAATGGATCCATGGACAGAACCGTATCATATTCTTTTGCTGGTAATTGTCTCGAAGATGCTCGAATCAATGTGTGGTATTGACATAGATTAAAGCTCACCTTCTTCCGGGTATGTATGTCACTGGTGGAGGATTTTGTACCACTGACGAATCAAACGTGCCTATTGGGGCTGTTAAGTTCCAATTTACACTGGTATTTCTAATGACCAATGTGAGTTCAGATTCAAAAGGCAAAAGTTCGCTTACACGTTTAGATACAGGGCGACATTATTGACGAATTGATTTTGAATACAAGCGTTGTTTGATGAGCCTGTATACTGATGTCCACAGGCGCCAACAAGAGACCAGTGAACCTGAAAACTCTTAGATAAGGATGTACGAATGCCAAGATGATACACACAGAAAATGTCTGCCCATCAAGGTCGATTGAGAACATGTCGGCGAGGCTAAAATATGTCAGATTGACTATAATAACAAGAACAGGATAATCACAATACAAGCTGTGTTAGTAGTTAGCGTGAGTCTCGATATTATGGTTATAGGGCTTACACCAGGGGATCCACTGACACCGAAGATATTCAACGTGCTATTATCCATGTTTACTTGGGTTTTGAAGTTTGCGTTCAAATAGACCTCTGTGAGAAAGATAGAGATCCCTGCGAGTATGGCAATATGATCGACAATGTCGCCACCGGCCCATAACGTATCATAATTGGGTTTCGTCCTATCATACGTTGTAGGTGAAGTTATAGTGGCATCACCGTCCTCGAGGTTGGAAAAGTTAACCAATGAGGTGTTCAACTGGCAACTCACTTTTAAGGGATATCACCTATATTCAGAATGTGACAGACAGATGAGATGGGGGAAGTATGTAATCCTTGGCCACTAATATAATGCCTGATCGTATACCCACCGGAACAGCTTTCGAATCATTCTCACGAAGAACTCCAAATCGTTCAATTCTGATTCAGGTGTTATTTTCTGAGTCTTGTGAAAGTGTACGACGATCCTCACAGACAGAATTTTCATCCGCAAATCTTCAGTAAAGGATGCGAATTCAGAGTTCAAAGAGTGTTTTGAGATCGAAGCCTGAGCCTCTTGAACGTGCATTGCACCAGTGGGTGACGATCTTGATGTGTATGTATAAGTATAATCCAATACAACCGAGGTAAACTCACCTGTACTGTGCGGTCCAACATAATGATACCACAGTGCCGCAACAGGACAGACTGATTATGTGGAAGCGAGACTGACCAAGGTTGTCATTGCTCGCCCACCGCGGGGTAGTCCTTGTGATCGCCTAATCGATGACGGTGATAAGTACTCAACGGAGGCATGTGTTCAACCTCGGAGTATGGCGATCAGTAAACCACGACCACCAAATACATTCAATTCCTCTCATCGCTGCCGTGCACCTGGTAGATGGATTCTCGTATAAACAGCGGCTGATCTTGACTCTTGAGCTTCTGCGTGCCATTGTACTTAGACGCGATCGGGTCTGAGCAAGTTGAAATGAATTTGAAGTAAAGAATGGACCGAATGACCGTTTGAATACGGGCACGAAGTTATTCCCGCTACCTTGACTCGACAGGCTCACTGGCACCTCCAAGCAGCTCGTCGTTGTTTTTCATGCCTGTTCACTGTCTGGATCTATTTCCATAGACGTTTGGAGCCTTTAAAAGCACAATCCTACTTATACATCGATTTTAATACATTTGATGCATCAATAGTATGTCATGTTAATCTACAATCAATCAACCACAGTGAAAACATACCCTTGGCAGCGGCTCAACTATTCAGATCGCTGCGAGTCCACAACAGATCGAAGGAACAACGGCAGCGCCGCAGGATGCTAGTTGCAGATAGATGCAGAGAGAAGCTAGCAAGAAAGGCGTTTGCTTCAATGAAGACATGACAGTTCAGTTGTTATTGCCCGGCAGGGAGCGGGGACAGCTTGAGGGCTACATGAAAAACAGCGGGAATCAAAGGACGACAGAGTTGATGTTGATGAGCGGGTAGAGTTGGGGTGGAACATGCACATGAAGGAGGTCATTGCTGGGCTCAATGAGTTAGGTTTAAAACGCCGCTGAGAATGCCATTGGCTGCCCTCGTATGGCTACAAGGTAACATGGTCTGCGCCAGCCAAACTGAGGACGCCTGGTTTATGGGATTACCGGCGTTTGAGGACGGGGTTTGGACCGGCGATCAGTCCGGCGATCATCCATTGCAAACCAGACGCTTACCACTGGAAACTCCGCATGAAAGTAGATACTCGGTAGACGGGAGTCTTCGTACATACAATATTGACGATGGACTCACTGTCTGCCCTCGCGGCGATCTTGCGCAATAGTATGCTGTCTCACATGTCAATCCATCAGCTGATTTCTTTCATTGAACTGTCCTCTAACCTGAAACACAGCATTGAACTTTACCAGCCACTGAAGGAGACATCAGACGATACATCAAGTCCTCTTGTTTTACCAGAATCCATCGCTCTTTTCCTATCGCGTGCAACGAAAATTCCACTGGAGCTCATTGGGGATGCTGGTATGCCTTGAGAGATATTGTTTGGACCACAGGACCAGATAGACAGTGCCAGGATTGCGCAGCAGAGGCTTTTAGAGTCCATGGGTGGGACCTTGGCATCAGTGCATCATTGCTGCTGTCCGAGTTGTGTTGCACTTGCATACATTTCTGATATTATTGCAGTGTCTCTTGCCCTGTACCCACCCTCGAAGTACTATACAAACTCTGATTGCCCGAAGACTGCTATGCTGAGGCCAATCAGGAACTACCAGTTGCTTTTTTTACTTTATTTGTCACTTAATTACACGAAAAGGGACGCATAAGTCGATGGAGTGAAAAAGCGCGAGCCACTTAATTAAGCCCACTCGTCCTCTGGATTTTTACTTAATTCACTTAAATAAGCAGAAAAAGCGGTTTAAGCATTTGATAGCAGGATAACGAGGATACATAGAAAGCGTGATAAGCATGAAATTAAGGAGACTCTCAGTAACATAAGGAACTGGGGGAATGGGGGAAAAGGTGGGCATGCAGGCAAAAAAGCAGTCAGCGGCAGAAAACATGATAGCAGAGCTGGCGGAAAACATGATATACGGCAGAAAACAACCACAGGACAGCGAAATTCATGCACTGGCAGGTGCTGCAACAAAAACAAAATCCTGCAACAATGGATGTCAGTGAGAGGGCGCCTGAATGATAAATACTTACAAATCATAGCACGCTTGTCATCCTCCGACTCGTCATCGTCGATCAGCGAGCCCAACGGTGTTTCAGTGACATCATTCAAGGTGGTACGCGCCATCTGTACTGTAGTTTCGAGGTACCCAGCAGGCTTGCCTAACAGAGATTTGATGTACGAATTAGTTGGTTTAAGCCAGAGAGCTGCCGAAAATAAAAACGGAATGTTGGTCTTTTTCCCAGTAACTTTGTTGAGGACCTTCGGTAGCCTGATGCTAACCCGACCTCTTGATGCGGATGACAGAACATTTTGAACTTCGAGTACTTCATTTGCGATCATGGAGACAGCGCGCTCAATCTGAAAAAAATGAGCATGATTAAGCCATTATAGGTTGAACTCACCGCTGCAGCAGAAAGAGCAAGAGGCCGTAACATCCCACTTGTTGCAAGTGCGCACATGTCGAATGAGGGAACCTGCACATAACCGGTGATGGCGTTGAGGTGTGCTGTGCCAAATAACTGCAGTACAAAGGGTGAGCGGTATGCAGTAAGTGGAGATGGATTGTCCGGGTCCTCGAACAAGAATGCCCATTCAACATTAAGAGATTTGGCCAGTTTGACAGGATTCACGTCGGAATTTCGTGATAAAAAGTCCATGATGATGACTAGCCCTGTGGAGCCAAAATTGCTGCGCCACTCTGAAATGCGCTGTGCAGTCTGTATAGATTTAGCTCAGGTCGCTAAACCTAGAATTAAACAGCTGACTTACGAGTGAATGTATAACTCCACCGTGAACAACCACTATGTCGAGATCGTTGTACACTGCGTTAAGAACAAGCTGCGCATGATGGAGAAGGACCTCGTCAGGAATACTCCAGATATCTTCATAGCTTCCGGCCCACAGCATTATGGTAGGGATAAAATTCTTCGCCCAGCGCTGATCCATTTGCATCGCTGGAGGTAGGTCAACTGTGCGATAGGCACTGCGTGCTTTGATGTTGTCTGGTGCAGTATCTGCATTCTGCTGGCGTGTGGTAGCAGGAGCACCACGGGCATGTAGTGCGGAAGATTTGACCTTAGCCTTTTTATGAGCTGGCGGCTTGCTGTCGACTATAGCCTGAGATGCAGTAACGGATGTCTGTACATTGTCAGAAATGAGTGCGATTAGGGCCAGAATCCTTACTGAATATGTTGTGCGCAGAATTTTCTCCTTCTTTGCTGCGTTAGTTTTGACAGGGAGCGGTGCCTCCGAATCAGAACTCATGATTGCGTCTTCTACCAGTTCCGCATTGCCATCAATCTCCATGGACCAGGACACCAAAGACTCCTCATCGTCTATGGTGCTAGCTTTCCGCTTCAAGAACATATGATTGTCTTCCTGTGTGAATGGCGCCTTAGGCTCCTGTGAGTACTGCTCCTCCGGTAATACTTGTGTCGACAGAGCCATAAGCTCATCATCCGAGTCGTCTGATGCCTCTGGTGGAGCCTCAGGCTCATCGACATCATAGTCCTCTTCGTATAGCGTGACAACCTGTGAAAGAAGGAATTAGTAGATTCGGATGCTGGCAATGAATCACTGCCAATAGTACCTTAGATTTCCCCTTGTTTTTCTTGCTCCCCAAGAGAGCATCCTCACGCTCCAACGAATCGTCGATATCATCTGCAAACGCGCCAGTAAGAGTATCGTCTGCGACACCATCCGGAATTTGAGGCAAAGCTGCAGGAATCTTAGTCGGAAGCTCAGCGGCTGAAGTCGGTGCGGAGGAAGCATTGCCCTCTGAGAAAATTGATGACGGAGGTGCTCGAGTTGAAGTGCTATCAATGGATGGACATGACAGCGGCTCTGGATTTCCAGGTTTGACCCCTGAGATCCAGTTGGTCACTCGGCCACCTAATGCAAGTTTTGTGGATGTGTTGATACTGGAAGTAAGGTTTAGAAAAAAAGTGTCGATTCAGTGAGGAGCAACATGGTAATGTGAGAGATAAAAGCCTTACGGTGATTTCCCATCAGCACGTGCATCATCACCTTCCACTTTTGACTCGGATGATTCAGTGAGCTTCTTTTGCATGTTACTGATGGCATCCCTTATCAACGTCTTTTCGACTTTCTTCGTCACCATCTTTTTCCCCCTTCCTGCAGCTTTATTTTCCACATCCCTGGCAATGTCAGTCTCTGACACTAGGTCCTCCAACATACCACTATCAGCAGGACTGTCACCACCACCGGTGTCTCCTACCACAGACTTTTTCTGAGTCACTTTTGGCTTTATCGCCTTGGCCCTAGGCTTGGGCCGAACGGGAGTCGCCTTTTTCATGATCAATTCCTTCTGGGCTTTCTCCATCTCAGCCTGCAGAGCAGCAATACGCTCAACCCCCTTTTGGTGCGCTGCTTCCTTTGCTTCTCTCGCTTCTTTGATGACAAGGTCATCTGCAGCCTTTTGAGCCGGGGATCGCCTCTTGATCTTCGTGTCGAGCAACACCTTAGCAGGTCGGGCAGTTGCAGTCGATGGGCGGGTGCGCCGGGGAGCGTCTGTCATGGACATGACTGTGCAGATGGGGGAGACGGTGAGGGATAAGACTTTGCGGAAGAGGAAAAGAAAAGTAGGGTTTCAAGTTGAGAAAAAAAGTCGTAAGTCCCACCCCCAACAGCTGCCGACTGTGGTAATCGGGGTGTCACCTTTTGTTTAATAGTATCAAACTAGTACTAGTATGTGTGTTCGGCACTTCAAGTTCTCTGCCTTACTT